GCAGGTATGAATCTACAAATACCTAAATGTTGTGGTTTTTAAAGTATTTATTTTTATGCACAAGCTATTGGAAAGTATTCCACAGAGTTCAGAAGGATAGTTGCCTCAGTGTGGACTACACAAGAAATTATTAATCTCTCTCACTTGGAAGTTGTCTGAAGGGAATCCTTGAGAGTCCATGCTCCTTCTGCAGTCACTAAAGGGACAGTGTCTGTGCTGAGGCAGCGCAGATCACTGGAAAAAATCACTGTAGCGAAACAGCTGCACCTTGCAGGTGAGTTTTGCCTTAAAAAAGCTGGTTTTGAACTAAAAGACAAGTTGTCTTTAAGCAATAGATCCTGCTGAGGCAGGGTAGAGGTTTTTTCTCTGCTGGTCTCTTTCTCAAAGCACAATCCACCACTGTGCCAACACACAACTCTGGAAGTTTCCTCAGGAACTTTGTCCTGGCACAGACAGATTCACAGACAGTCTGACTGCCTCCTCTCAATGCCACCACACTTCCAGAATGTTCCAGACTGACCATGGCCAGAACTCCTGGTGGAGGTTCTGGGGCATTTATGGGGAGAACCAGGGTTATAAAACTCCAATTTCTGATGCTCTGATGTGGGTTCCCACCTGCAACAGACCAGGGCTCCATATCACAACCGCAGACATATCTCTCCTTCCCCGTTTTTCTGTTTCAGTATTTCCTCTCTTAGGGTGATCACATCCTCCAGAACAGCTATATAACCCTTTTCATTTCTTTCCAGTTACGGTTTCAATAGAATTGTTCACTGTTATATAAGTTATTTAGCACTGTTTTGCTTTAATCTTTTAAAAAAGGGATTTGCTAACAAGGAACCTGGTTGCCCTGCCTCAGGGGCAGATCCCAGCAACTGCCCTCTCTGAGTACAGAGTAGAAGCAGAGCAATGGGGCTCTTAATCTAGATGCGTTACTTGAATGCTTGAAATTAGAAAGTAATTTAAGAAAACAGGGATTTGGATACAGAAAACAGGAATGTGTTTTCCTGGAGGCCTTAACATCTCTTACAGTATTTGTTGACAATTCTTTTCTTGATTCCTGCCTGAAATCCAGAAATGTCAGAAGTATTTTGCTTAGTTTTTACAGTGTTGGATGACTTGTTGAATGCTCACTCATGATGTACTCCAAAATGTTGGATCAAATTAAGTATCATTGTCTTGCTAAATACCATTACTGATTTAAAATAATGGTCCAAATATTTCAAATTGAATCATAAAATTAGGCTCTGGAGTAAAAGTTGCTCTGTACATGTGTGTTTGGATTTATGATACTGCCCTTACATATTTTCAGATAAAGTTTTTCTAGTCTTTGACTTAGTACTGCATCAAGTCCTGATGAAAAGTTTGTATACTCTACAATACAAAGCTCATATAGAATGAGTCAAAAATTGGCTAGTGTTGCTCAAAAAGTAGCTGTCTTTGGGGAAATCACCAGTGAATATGTGTGGGTTTTCTAGACATTGGAAGCCTGCAGCTGTTCTACACTTACATCAACAATCTACAGACGGCATAATGATTTAGGAGGGGGTTGTCTAGCTGGCTTTGTGACTCAGGCTTATTTAAAGAATAAACTCTTTCATAAGAAAAAATACAATGTTAAAAGTCTAGCAGTGGGAGTGTGTGGTTCTGCTGAGAGTGGAGAAATGCACTGGGAGCAGCCCTGGCTCTGGGAGGACTGTGTGTGCATTCGTGTGTGGTGTTACAGCAGCCCTGCTCTCCTGCCCTGCACGTTCAGAGGATGTGCTGGGGACAAACACAGCTTGTGTGGGCTCAGATGTTCGTGCCATCAAAAAAAGAACCTATGGGGGGTAGAGAGTGTGAAGAAAGGCATTTAAAGAACATTAAAACCATCAGGGACAGGCAACATGAGTTCACAGAGGGAAATTTACGTTCATCTCATCTGGTATCTTTCTACAAGAAGGTCAGCTGTGTAGTGGGTGAAGGGAAGGGAGTGGATGTTTTCTGGGTTTTAGTAAGGCCTTTGATCCTTTTGTCCTTCATAGCATCCTCCTGGGAAAGTTGTCCAGCAGTGGGGTGAGCAGGCTCACGGTGTGCTGGGTGAAGAACAGGTTGGATGGCAGAGCTCAAAAGGGACTACACTGACTGGTGACCATTTCTCAGTAGTGTTCCTCAGAGATCAAGTCCAGGGTCAGGTCTGTGCTCTGCATGCAGGAGGTGAATGCACTTGTGCTGGTTTCAGCTGGGGGACAGCTAATTTTCACAATAGCTAGTACAGGGCTATGTTTTGGATTTGTTCTGAACATGGCTGAGACTGCACAGATGTTTTTGTTATTGCTGAGCAGAGCTTACACAGGGCCAAGGCCTTTTCTGCTTTTGAACGGCGATGCTGGCAGTGAAGATGGGAGGAGACAAATCCAGAACAGGTGATCCAAACTGACCAAAGGGATATTCCACACCATGTGACATCATGCTCAGGATATAAACTGGGGGGAAGAAGCAGAGGGGAATATTTGGATTGATGGCATTTGTCTTCCCAAGTCACTTTACATTTGATGGGACTCTACTCTTCTGGAGATGGATGAACACCTGCTTGCCCATGGGAGGTGGTGACTTATTCCTTGTTTTCCTTGGCTTTTGCTTTCCCTATTACACTCTCTTTATCTCAAACCACGAGTTTTCCAGCTTCTACCCTTCCAATTCTCTCCCTGATACTGGAAAATGAGGGACAGAGTGAGTGGCTGCTTGGGGCTCAGCTGCTGGCTGGGGTTAAACCTCAACAGCACTGTTACCACATTTGATATTAATTATATTCCCTCCTAACATTTTAATAAGTGGAGAATAAGGGTTTGGTTGAGTGATTAATGTATCTGTATATTAAAATGAATGTATTTTGCTTATTTTATTCATGTTAAATAAGGAATTCTCAAATGTTATCTTTGGATAAGTAGGAGTAATGTGAGTGCATCATGCTGACATTCCCAGAACCTGTGCTGTCCTTGGAGGTTCTGTTGATAGATACAGGTCTGCAGAGAAGAGTGCCACAGAAGTCAATACAGCAGGACATATGCAGGCATTTTCAGGATTTTGTCTGAACACTAGTTGCAAACACTTGGTTTTGTTTATTATAACTGAGTGTTCAGAAAAGTGTTAGACTAATAATTAAATTATAATGACTTTGATCTAGGATTCACAGTTACTTTGCCTATCAAAGAACATTGCACCATTCAGAGCTTGAACTAATAGGAATTCATAGGAATTCATTGTGACCTAGGAGGAGTAGACCCAGGTAACTACTCTGCTTTTTACTTTTCTCTCTCTTAATACAAAATTAATTTCATCTTGATGTGATGAAAAACTACTTATGGAGAAGCTAATTGTTTATTAACTTCCATATTCATAGTTAAAATGTCAAAAAATAGATATGTGTGCTTTATGATTTCCAAATAATTTCACCTTTCTTTTTACTTTTAGTTGCCAATTTCGGATGATGTTATGTACCAGCTTGGCTGTCACAATATATTAAAGATTTTATTATTTAATGGAGTTTGACAAAGAAAATGAATATAGTATTAAGATAGGATATAAGAATAGTGATGCTGAGTGGTACCACAGAATCCTTTCTTGAGCAGTGGTTAGCAATGGATGCTGAGGCTGAGAACAGGAGAGGATAATGTGATGTTTCCACAGAAATACTTTCTCCTTCTCCAGCAGTTATCCTTATGGATATCTATTGATCCCACACAACTCTATAAAGGCGGTTATAGGGAGTTAAAGGCATTAATTTCAAATATCTATATCTGTTGTCAGACAGTGCAGTTGGTTTCACTGGACAAATTAGACATAGCTCTGTGCCATTACCTTTTCTGCAACTGCCTAATGGCCACCTCCACCTGGAGCAGGGTGTTTGTGAATTCAAAAGAAATAATGACTGAAAAATTTTGAACAGTGTATCTCAGAAGATAACCAGAATGTATGACAAAAGTATAAAACAATGAAATGTTATTCAGAAGCTGGAATAGTAGTGTTGCACTTAACAGTAACTAGACAGTATTCAACTTAAACTGAAAACTTGCAAAACAAAAATTACAAACTTCATGCAAGACTGTGACTGCTGTGAAATGTGACGATGAAGTGCACACCACAAGTCAAGGACCTATTGAGGTTTATACAGAGGTGGCACATACAATTCACAAAAATACCGAGTTCTAACAATTAAGGCTCAGGTTTCTGCACCCCAAGTGTTATGTTCAGTTTGGGACTCTCACCACAGGATAATGAGGTGCTGGAGCATGTCCAGAGAAGGAGGGTGTAGCCAGGTGGAGCTCGGCCTCTTCTTCCAGAAAACAAGCAACAGGACAAGAGGAAATGGGCCTCAAGTTGCTCCAGGAGAAATTTAGCTTGTGTATTAGGAAAATTTCCCTCACCAAAAGGGTTGTCAGGTACTGGAACAGGCTGCCAGAGGAAGTGGTAGAGTCATCATCCCTGAAGGTATTTAAAAAAGGTTTAGATGTGGTACTTGGAGACATGGTTTAATGAGGAACTTGGCAATGCTGGGTTAAGGTAGGACTTTGATCTTAGAAGTATTTTCCATTCGAAAAGTTTCTCTGATTCTTCTGCAGAAGGGTTAAATGGCACACTTTAGAAGTTATGCCAACACACACTGAGTCTCTAATGACGGAAAACCACGGAGCATCTGTGTGCTCTTGGACTTCTTGCATCTTTTTTTCTTTGTTTCTTTGGAACATTTGATATTGGCTGTGCAAAGACACCAGATTAGACAAGACATAAGAGTCTGCTTCTGCCTTTTTGTCTTGAACTGTTATGATTACAGGCAGTTTGACACCAGGCCTGCAATACATTATGGCCTGAAATCGCTCCCACTTGAAGAATCTCGGGCCGCTGCCATTTAAGAGAGCAGCAGGACGCACGGGCGAGGCTTCAGACCTCGCAGCACAGCGCGTCTGGAAGGAGGGACCGCAACACCTTTTTGTGCTGACGCTGCACTTGGTTCACGTCAGCCTGCGAACCACCGCGGTGCTCGCCTACCCTGCCTGATATTTCATCTTCTTTTTGACAACAAAAAAGCCAAAAAAAAACACCCACAGCAGGCACAGTACGCACGGGACCTCACCCGTGACCGAGCCCCGCAGCTCCCCCGCCCGCCCTCTCTCCCTCCCCGCGTTCCCGTGCCCGGCTTTCCTCCCGAGTCCCCTCCCATGTCCCGCCCCGCGGGCGAGGAGCCGGCCCCGGGCTCCATCCCCGGGCTGTCCCCGCCGGCTGCCGGCGCCGCCCCAGCGCTGTCTGGCTACGGGGAGCGCCGCCCGTCCGCACCGGCGTCCCGCGGCCCCGAGCGGCTCGGGGGCAGGTTTGCAGAGCCGGCCCCGGCGTATATAACGTGTCTGATTGCCTATAGAGAGAGAGATGTGTATAAAAGGGTACTCATGCTGACCTCATAATAAGAAACGAGCCAATTCCCGCTCGCAAAGGGAATGTGTTATGTGCAGGCACGCCGTGCTCCTGCGCTGGCTGTGACAGAGCCCGGCGGGGTGCGAAGGTGCCCGACCTTCCCAAGAGAAGAGAGTGGCCCGGTGGTCCCCGGGCTCTGCGCCGAGCTGCTCACCTGCAAGAACAGACCATGCCCAGGCCCTGCCGAGGCTCCCGCGGCAGCACGCTAGATCCCGAGGAGGAATGCTTTACAGGTAGGTTTGGTTAGCTGTTGTTTTTTGCATGTCTCTTGTGTTCCCCCGGGTTTTTTTGGGAATGGGATGAACACAAAGAATGTGTTGGTTGGTAACAGTGCGGTGTGTAATGCAAAACAAGAGCTTGGCCGGCTGTGCTGTTTTATTACATTGTTTTTACTGGTAATCTGTCGGAAACCTCCAATTCATATTTTACTCGAGGAAAGGACACTACCAGATGTGTGTATGTGGACTCTCTATGCTTCTGACAGTGTTAACTCCCCCGCCCTTCGAGCTTTCTGCAGCTTTCCTAAATGCTTGGCCTGACAATGGGTGGGAATAGCACTGGCATTCCTGGCCATACCTGGAAGCAACACTCGTTTTCCTGGACATTCATGCCCTGACGTGCCCTGCACCTTGAGAGCAAAACTGTCCTGCCCTAGCTCCTCAGACTGAGGCCTGTCTGCAGAAGTGGACAGCAAAATCCCCTGTTTAGGTAGTGAGGAGAGCCATGAATTAAGAGCATTTATCAGTGTCATTAAAAACTGATGAGGATGCATAACGAAAACAAGTGCTAATATAAAGGACTTTTTGCAGATAATTCCACCAACCATTGTTTACTACAGGGGTTGATGAGTGAACCGAAATTACCAAGAGGACTTTCAAGGGATAAGCCTGATGTTATGACTGATACATTTTAGAGAGGTTGGACTAATTTGTCAGTTGACCAGCCTTTCAGTTTTTGCTTAATAATGAGCACGCAGTCCAGCCTACTCACTGCAATTTATGGATGTGTGAGTGTTGGTGGATCATGACCTTATTACTTGTACAGTTCAATTTCTGCACAAACCCCCTGAGGGTTACTTCTGTGTTGTCTCGTAAGGATTTATGAAATTTAAATTTGTACAATGCCCTGAAAAGGATAACAGTTTTTATGCCTACTAATTTTATTGCCCTTGCATTGGGTATTTTCCTGGCTTTTACAATAGATTAAAAATTCTGAGCAGTGGGATGTTTCAGTGTTTCTAAAATAATTTTTGGTTATGCTTTTTGGCACAGTCCTGCTGGTCTACTGACACAGTTACTTCTGAGCTTGCAGCACTGCTAAAATAACACTGCAGTGATGAGACTCTCAAAAATACTTTCTTCACTCTAATGTTTGAAATAAAGCCAACTGGGTTACATTTCTCTCAGAAATTATGTTACAATGTTGCTGAGATAGGGTAGTTTTTATTGCTATTTTAATGCCTGTTTATGTTATACCCAGATAAAAGATGAGAAGTGTGCTCTACAGAGGTGAGTGGGTGTGACATATGCTGTATCTATAAACACTTCCACAGGCTGTTACCTGAATTTCCATGGCTGAAGAGAAATATTTTAAATTTTAAATCTCATCTCTCACATGGCATGCGATGAACCACAGTGGGAGCTAGGGGCATTAGATGGAATTTTTTTGATAGAAGAACCCCTTCCACCCTAATCCCTATCTGCGCTTAGAATCTGTAGCATTGAGAAGAGTGACTTAGGAGAGGATGAACATGTCTTATAATGTTAAGAGTCTGATTATGCAGGACTGTGCCCTCATGAAGAATCCTTGCTCTCATAACTGCTGCCACTGATGACAGGGAAATTATTTATGTGGGTTATGAACTATTTCTATAACAAAGGGTGTGCAATATTGGAGTCCCAAAAATGTAGTAAAGCCGTCCTAGGAAAAATTCCTTCAGGAGTTTTATTTTGCAAATTGTCAATTAGATGAACTGTATTCTTTCTGAGTGCAATGAAACAGAAACTCCCTTCTTTGATGATGTACTCTGGGCTGATCCAGACAGGGAGGTGTGAAGTTATTTACTGGTTTCCCCAAACTGTATTTACAGGATGCTGTGTGAACCCAAGATAAGCAATGTGCCCTTCATATTTACTACAGGGTGTTTGAACAGAGCCCAGTGCTGTGTCCAGCAGTCTCTTCATGGGCCACTGAAGTACAGTTGCTCCTGCAGCAAGGACAGCCAGTGGCCAAATATCAGTGATATATGTTTAAATTCTCTAGAAATAAAATTTACAACAATGGGTGGTCCCTTTTTTTGCAAATAATAAAAAACTTTGTCAAAGATTTCATCTCAAGAGTTTTGAAGTACTTTATTTTAACCATACTCAAAGTATTTTTTAACTATTTAGAACGATTTCTATTGAACTTATTTGGAAAATCAGGATTCATGAGGAATTGTTGGAAATTTGTTGATTCACTGACATTCAGAAGAGTATTATAAAAGAAAAAAAATTCCATTAGCATACAGGTCTGGAACTAGGACTAAGATACTGAAGCTGTATGTTGTTGTATAGCAACATGCTTCTCTGATACCATTGTGTATGGGAAACTCTCCTGATTAGAATTTCGTTTGATTTATAACCTTATTTCCCTTTGTCTATGGGAAACTCTTCTGATTAGAATTTAATTTGATTTATTACCTTATTTTTATTTCTTATTTAGTGTTTACAGATTAAATAAAACCCCTTACGTACATATAATAGATGTAGATGGAAATTGAAGCAATCGATCTTGTATTACAACGTCTCTAGCAAAAAACAATTATGTAAGCTTGCCTGGAAAATCCCCAGTCATGGTATTAAAACTGATCTTATTTTTTAAGACAGTTGTCTTAGAAAGGATTAAATATGCTTCACAAGAAGAATCAAAAGTATGAAGACTAATAGATGAGAATCTGAAAGTAGGTTTCCAAGGTTTCCAGGCCCACATTTAGAGCTCTACTTAGTGACCTGTTTTTGCAAAGGTGCTGCCAGCTGTGTGTGTGAATTCCATAGGAATGCTCGCCTGCCCACCACTTCTGGGAACAACCTGTAACTCTGGGTCAGCAATGGGAAATTTCATAAGCCTTTTCTCATAGTCCTTTTAAGTTGATCCATTTTATTAAGTTGGTTGCATGAAGTTCGAGGACACCCCCATTTTGCCTCATGTCATGTGTCTTAAATATTTAAGTTTTGGCAGAGGAAAGCCTGGCTTACATAGAGGGGCCACGGAGGGACCCGAGATGCTGGCTGGCAGCACTGTGGCACTTTCTCTTGGCTGTGAACTGACTCTGTTTGATGTTGTGAACTTCCATGACTATTTTAAAACCAGAAACTATGGTTCTGTTGTGGGTTTGGCAAATCCTGTTCTTGAATTCTCCTTGAGAGAAGGCAACAGTTTTTGTTAACTTCCATCTAATTTTAGATGAAAATGGTCCATCACTGGAAATACTGACAGATGTCTTTTGTATCAAAAGCCAGAAACTATATTTAGACATGATCCCAAGCTTAGAGAGTATAATATTTTGTAAATTTACCTTGTTTCTTTTTTTCACTATATGTATTTTTCTTCTGCCTGTTGCAGTTTTGCTGTCTAAAGTATTGGTAGTTTTCTATGTTTTTGCAGCATTTTGAATAAAAATTAGTCCTATTATTACAACTCTGGTGCTCCTTGAAGTCACTAATGTACAGATCATCATCTAGCATAGTGAAAATAATTAATTTTATTAAATTCTTTTATTAATTTTATTTATCAATGTAAATTTCTCAATCCATATCTCCCACTTAAATGCTAGTCCATTGTTGCTTCTTTTCTTTCATGTATATTGCCACAAAATTTTGACTTAGTGTTTTTTCAAGTAATAGCTGTACAGAGCCCATATTCATTAGTGACAAAGTTTTTCCATGGGGTTTTTTTCCCTTATTACTTTAGTGACATGAAACCGCTTTGGGGGATGTAGCAACTGAAGTGACATTAAATCTACTTTTCTTCTCAACATCTTCCCAAATTACATGTTCTCATTGAGGCAGTTTAAACGTGAAACAATCAAAATGGCAGTTTTATGTGCAAGAATTTATTATAATAATAATAATCAATAGATTCACAAATCAATATATTAATTTCTTTTGGTTAGAGTTCTGTGGGAACCAGCAATCTAAGCTGTAGCATCAAAATAGAGCAGAGTCTCTGCTTCTGTTTTTGCACATTATAGCAATAACATGCAAAGCTTCCAAAATATGCTGTAGCATATCAGAGCACAGAAACTTGATAATTCAATATCATGGTCTTATGATTTGATAGAATAAAATTATAAGCTAATAATAAATTATCATGTAGTCTTTGTGTGTTGTGCAGTGCTTACTAGGATGCTGTAAAGCAAAAGTTGGATGCAGTTAAAAGTTTTGTAAGTCAGTGAAATTATTTGGACATTATGCAATTTTCAAGTATCATATTCTATTTGAGAAAGCTTTTTTCTGATTAAGAAGGGGATTTCTGTTTGGTTTTGGTTTGTGCCATTATTTTCCTTTTTGTTTGTTTTATTTATTTAATGTTATGATATGTGGACCCTGGCTTAATGCTGGGTGTTACCAAAACCACTCTTTCACTCCCTCAGCTGGACTGGGGAGAGAAGATGGAAGGCTCATGAGTTGAGATAAGGACAGGGAGAGAACACTCAGCATTTACCATCAGAGGAAAAAGAGGGAAAGTAAATTTAGTAAAATACCAGTCAAATTTGAATTAGAATATGCTAGTGAGAACTAAACCCAATTCTTTAAAAAAAAAGTCTTCCCACCCTTCACATCTTTAACTTCACTCCCTCCTTTCTCTGCCTACTCTCACTGGGCAGGTGCATGGGCGATGGGGGCTATGGTCAGCTCTGTCACATGTTCTCTCTGCCACTTCTTCCTTGCCACAGGAGGGACTCCTCACACTCTTCCCCTGCTCCAGGATCATTCCCACAGGAGACAGTCCTCCATGAACTTCTATGGCTTCAGTCCCTTCCACAGGCTGTCATTTTCCAAGAATTCATCCTGTGTGGGCCCACAGTGGTGTCACAGCTCCTGCCAGGAGCCTGCTCCAGTGAGGGGCTCTCTGCTCAGGCCACAGCTCCTGCCAGGAGCCTGCTCCAGTGAGGGGCTCTCTGCACAGGCCACAGCTCCTGCCAGGAGCCTGCTCCAGCACGGGCTTCCATGGGGTCCCAGCTTCCTTCAGGCACACCCAGCTGCTCTGCTGTGGCTCCTCCAGGGGCTGCAGGGGAATCTCTGCTCCCCCCTGGGCCTGCAGGGCCTGCAGGGGCACAGCTGCCTCACTATCCAGTCTCCTTCACTGACTTTGGTGTGTGCAGAGCTGTTCCTCTCTTACATTCTCACTCCTCTCACAGCTGCAGTTCTCCTTGTGAAGTACTTTTTTGCCCTTCTAAATTCATTATCCCAGAGATGCTGCCACTGCTGGGCTCAGCCTTGCCAAGCAACTGGTCGATCTTTACTTTAAAAAATGTGTAAGTTTTTGCTATGGGTATGAATTAAAGAATTTTCAGTCTTCTAGTCAGTTTGTTAATGATGAAGATGTAACAGATTTAATTTTTAAAAATTGAAAACATAAAAATTAACTGTTTAAACATCAGAAATAAACAACTTGTATTGAGATCACAAGTCATATCTTACCTTCTGAAAGATTTGAGGGAATTTTTTTGCATTTCTTTGAGAGGAACAGAGAAACAGTACTGTCACCACTTTTGGCATAATTTCAGGTGTAGTACTGCCTGAAAATTAGAAACAGTGCTTATATTCTCTCCACTGTGCACTTAGCCCTCAAAGGTTATGGATCATTTATCTGTGTTTAGGGTAGTATGGAACAAAATTTTCAAAATCTTCAGCATCCCACTTATTTTTTAATGTATGTATTTTGTGAAGTCTCAATAGCTTTGAAACAGGCAATAGCAATGGAAGTGGAGAGTGGAATGTCGCAGCAAAGACAGAGAGACTCTTACATCTCGTGGACAATGCTGGCTTTTAGAATACAAGCAAATCTGGTGAAAGCGATTTTACATTATTTCTTGTATGTTATTTTGGCTAGTGCTCCTAAGGCCTCAGGCAGCATTTACTTTTTCCCAGAATGCTCTTTGAAATGGAATGCAGTCTCCATCCTGCAACCCGGGCACCTTCCATGTCAGGTAGCTCAGGTGGGAGCACATTTGATAGGGCTTCTGTGCAAGACAGGAGGCTGGAGCTGGGACGCCATCCAGGTGAGATCTCAGACCAAGAAATGTTTCTAATGCATCTTCCAGGCAAGGGCCTGTTTTGGTCTTTGAATACAGCAAACATTTTATTCTGATTCAGCAGCTTCAGGGGAACTGTAGCAAGGGAGAGAGAGCCCAGTCTGTGGTGATTATTCATGTGCAGACAGGTTCTGTGTCTGGACTCCTGGCTGAGGCTGGTGGGTTATTCCAGTCCTTGCAGCCAGAGGCAGCTCATTTGACATTATTTTCTGGTAACTTTTCCAACAGCCTCTTTTATCCACAAGTGCCAAGCTAGCGAGGACTGGAGCGTCCCGGTCTGAAGCAGGCACTAGCCAGCCCATGTCTGTCTGTGTCCTGGTGGTGCTGATGAGGGAGGATGGCTCCAGCCCACCCATTCCTGTTCCTCTGTGTGCATTTGCCTGTGCCTGGCCTTGGGGGCTGCTGCCTGTTCCTGTGGCTGAGTCTGGCACTTCTCTTGCAGCCAGCACAGCCACCCTGCCAGAGGCAGACTCAGAATGGGGAATGAAGGGGAGAAATGCAGAGGGACATACCAGTGTTAAAATTACCACATCAACACGACTGTGGTAACTCCTTGATGGCCTTGTGTTACATCCACAAGAAGCTCTGGGTGTCTTTTTCTGTGGAGATCAGCTGCAGATGTGTTGTGCCTGAATATCTGAGAAGCTGAAAATGTAAGTGGAAATTTATGCTTAGGATAAATATATATATAACACAAATATATTTTTAAAACTCTGTTATGAACAGCCTGATTGAGGAGTGAAGATCTTACTGATGAGCTTTGTGGAGTATGCTTCAGGAATTACAAAAAGGTTTTCTTGATTGGAGTAGAAGCATTATAGAACTGTACAAACTATAAATAACTGTGGCAGCCTCAGCAACCTCTGACTTAATCTACAGGCAGCTCTTTGGCTCAAGAGCAGTAGCTGGGATATATTCTTTATATTTACTGCAATATTAAAATACGGATATTTATCTTTGAAGGGTACCATTATGCCGTAGCTTCATGTATTTCTGTTGGTAATTAAGCAGTTATGGTTTTTTTCTTCTTTTGGGTTTTAAAATATTATTGGAATCTTCTCACTATTTCAAATGTAGTGGGCTTTCTTAATTCCTTCAAATCCCCTAGAGCCTTTTAGGTCTAGGAAAAGTTAACTCTGTCAGAGAAAGTCAATTGCTTCTTCACAGCAGTTCATTCTTTGCTAATTCCATTCTTTGGAGCAGAAAATGTATCTTTAAAAATAGTGTAAGCTTCTGAGCTTGAGGATTACTGAGAAGAGTATGAAGGTTTCTGCAGTTACTCTTTTCGTATTTTTCCTTAATTCAATAAGAATGCCAGTTTTGGGGTTTTTGTTTCTTTTTAAGGGGACAGAAAAAAGCCTATTCTCTTCAAAAAAATCATATTTAAGTGCAATACTATTGTTCATGTGTGCCACTCCCCTCTAGTGAATAGAAGTGGAATTGCTTCGTGTTGTGCCATGTCATTGACCCTCTAGCTGCAACCAGATCATGGAATTTTTCTTCAACTTTCAATGACAGAGAGTTATCTTTATTTCAGTGGAACAATGTGAACTTTTTTCTGCTTTTTCTATTTAGTAAGAAATAGGCTCTCATTGCAAAGCATGCTAAATTTGTTAAATCCTGTCCTTTGCACACACACAATGCCCAAGTAAAAATAAAATTAACAACAGCAAAACTGTAGTAGTTTTTCCTCTGTCTGTATATCCCTGGGTTTGAGTGAAATTTTCATGCTCCTTGCCCCTTTTTGCATACATGAAGCATTTATTTTAACAATGTTTACTTTTTCCTTGATAGTTGAATAAATTTTTGGTGTAGTAATCTTAACTCTTCCATGATAGGTTGATGTTTGCATTATTAAACCTTTGAGTAATTGATACCAAAGCTCGAGTTGTTTGGTCACAGATAAGTGTGTAGTTCTAGGTAAAAATACCTATCCACATATTTTCACTTGGATGTTTTTGTTAAAGAGGTAACAGAGGAAAAGAGTTTTACAAAAATGTTGTGTATGTAATAAGTATTCTGTCAAATGTCAGCTAACAAGGCACCAAGTGTGAGATTTCTCTGGCCAGAAGCCAGTGAAATAGCTCAGCAGTCACCCTAGTCTGAACTCTGTGCTCATCAGCCCTCGAGAGAAATACATGCATTTAGCTTTCCATTTGTCATCGAAAGCACACAGCTAAAATATGTTCATAGCCAGAAGCTGATTGTTTCTGTTTACTGCACATGACAGATCAAGCTAGAATGACATGAATCCTGTATGGGATGGTCTTTAAAAAAAGATCTGTTTGTGTCTGCTTTTTTGCCCCTTAATTGTGCCCTTAATTCATATAATAAATGTGTCATTAATTCATATAATAAATGTGTCATTAATCAGTAGTGCTGGTGAAAACAGCTTTTTCTTTTACACTGACAACCAAATGTAGTCCATTAGAGTTGCACTGGCTGTGAAGGCCACAAGCCTAACAAAGTAAACAGCCTGAAGAAGTTGTATGAGATGTAGAAGTAGTAAACCCTAAATCAACATAAACTCTGATGTGAGGCAAATGTAAGCAGAAAAATATTTCATAGAAAAAAAGAGTATAGATCCAAGATATTTAGTTATGTCTAAGAGATGCAGAGGTATGCTGAGACTAAAATTTGCTCTATAGAGTTCCATATGTTTATTTGGCATACACACTCATGAAAACTGACCCTAGACATCCACCTTCCTGAAGCTTAAAGAGCAAAATGTATGAATGTAGCTGAAAGTGTAACACATTCTCTTGTTTTCCTTCCTTTAGGATAGTGTACATTTCACATCTTTGCTCTTTTCTGCTACGCAAAGATGCAGTTCACCCTTGTTCTTAAAGGATGGCAGATGTTTCTTTAAAGGTTAAAACACTTTTTTTTCTTTTAAAAAGATAAATACTAAAAATATGAGGCCAAATCCCATGGCATCTAGTTAGGCAAAACTCATACTCAGATTTGGGGATTTTAGCTTTGCTTTTCCTAATGTACTGTACTGTATATCACTGCATCTCTTTATTTTCTTCCTTTGTAACAAAAGGATAAATTCCTGTTTGTTATTGCACAGCATTTTCAAAGCTCTAATTTATAAATACTATTATGGAATTGTTATTGAAAACTATCTCTTCTCTTTTCCAGAGAAATCAGTGCTTGCCCAGCCAACATTTGTTTTTGAGAAGAAGGATCGTTCTTTGAAGGTAAAAAGCCTTTTTTTCTCCCTTTCTCATTATTGATAAAAATTGGTAAGAAATAGGGATTCTGTAGACAGTTATCCTGGCAGCAGTATAAGATTTTAGCCCTGCTTAACAATTGTAATAAATGGTCTGAAAATAGAACAAGGAAGAATAGAAAACAGAAACAAGACTTAATGCATATACGCTGGACTGTTGTACTTCATGTCTCTGTCTAGAAAACGATTGTTCTATTTCACTGACCTTTCCATGCTTATTTTTTTTCCAGCGGCCTGCAGAAGACCCAGTTTGCAAAGCTGAAAATGGTAATCACCACCTCACTGAAACAGCATAATATAACCGAGTTATTCATAGGTCTGCCTATTTCCTGTGAAAACAGTGTTTGGACTCTTTCTAGGAGCAGGGGCAAATACCAGTTACCAGACTAAGATGTTGTGGGTTGTAGAGCCACCTACTCTGTCCTAATATACATGTCCCTGTCTTCCCTCAAGTTCTTCCATCTTACCTCTCATATTTACCAGAAAGACAAGCTCCAGAAGCCCTGAAAATTGACCAAGTGTATTCATCTGCATGAACTCCTGTCTTTTTCTGTTTGCTTGGATAATGTTATAATGTAGCTCCTCATTCTGAATGTTTTCTGAGCCCATGGGCTATGAACTAATTCGAAGTGCTTGCTTTGGGTTCCCTGAACTTAACAGAAATAAAGATTCCCCAGGGCTTTGTGACAGGTGTTGACTTAGATTCCACAGCCCTCCTGCTCTTAGGTACTGCCTTAAAGCTGTTCTCTAAGTCCCTCCTAGAATTTATTTTGTTCAGGTTTTAATTCAGTATTATAACATGGTGCTGATGCCTCCTGCCAATTACATTATATTTTCTTTTCTCTAGATTTCATTAGTTGTTCCAGAAAATGTGCAAGATCATCATCTTTGACATTCCAGAAGTCTGACTCTCAGTCTAACACTGGTATGATATTTACCTCCAGTCATGTTTTGATTGGAGTTCTGTATTCTCATCTGGCAATGAAAAGAATGAATTCTCCTACCTAAAACGTGTTTCTGCATTGTAAGCATGCTGCAAGTAATGAAAACTTAAATATTGATACTTGCTGGTAGTTTCCAATGAACACGTTTTTAATTAAAAATGCATTATTTTTTCCATACTTACATAATATTACATAAAGTAGTGAAAAATCCATAAATTTAATATAATTTTTCTGAATTGCTCACACAGTTAAGGGAGGATGAGGTCAGGAAAGGAATTATATCCCTGGCTTCTGGAAGAGATCACTGCTCCGTAGGCAATCCTTTAAGATGTGACAGTTTCCAGAAGGGCCCTCCTGCCATCCAGCCATGAGCTGACTGGGACGGCTCATTAAGGACTGTGCATTGTTTCCATGAAAATGAACACCAGTCCCCGAGGCTACTGTGCAGGAGGACTCATCTGTTTTACACAATCTGGATTGTGTATTTTTTTTTAATCACATCTAAATGTACCCAAGAGGACTTAAGCTAAGTTTGGTTTACTCTGAAAGTTAAACTGGAATAGATATGTGAGAAATTTTAGGGCATGCTGATTCCAAAAAATAAAGCGGAGTGCAGGAGGAAGCTGGAGTGTTTTTCCTCTTGACTGCCCACACTGTTTAAGGGATAGGTCACTGTCTGGCTCTGTTTTGAACCTGGCAGTCTCCAGGAGCTGATGCAGAGAGGGTTAGCTACGTGCCTGAGCCAGGCTGTGCTCCTTGGCCTCAGAGACATCCTGGGGTCAGCAGCATAGACATAACCTAACAATCTGCTTCAGAAAGATGGTGGGTAGCAGACAACAATTTATTCTATTGTCAGTGAAAGCATGACATCAGCCTGGCTAACCCTAAAACTTTTCTTTTTTATTCTCCAAACAAGTGATAATTTATTCTCTTATTCTTTTAGATACAGCTCTCACACAGCAAAGAGGGAGATCATCTTCATTTAACATCCTTCCTACTTTCCCTCCCTCCCAGGCAGGTAAATAAAAATAAATATTTATGTAGAAAAGCAAGTATTAGGCAAAATAAAGATGTGTGCAGAAATGCTTTTCCTGCAAGAAAAGCTGAAGTGTGTTGGACTAATCTGATATTTAGATGGCAGAAATGATTGTTTTATAAGGAAATGATTGTTTTATAAGGAGGACAGGTATTTCAATAGAATATAAGTTTCTTTTTCATAGCTGGGGAATCCTCTGGGGCAGGGGTGGAATCTTTGAATAATTTAAAAGCGTGCATTTACAGAATGTGATACAAATAATACATAAAAAACCAAAATGAAATTATGGTAGTTACATTAATAGTTTGCTTGCAATATAATGGTGATGGTTTCTACAGGAATATAACTTTCTGTCCTAGGAGCCTGTCTTCCACCTAACCAGGGATCCAGGGAATATCCTCCCTCTCTTAGCACTAACAGGAAAGATGGAGTGGTTTCAAATCCTAGCCTATGTCTGTTACCAGAGAAAGGTTCTTGACAGACACTGGCATAGAGGATTTCTAAACAATGTTAAGAGTCCCCAGCATTTTAAGAGCAGCAAAACACACTTTTGCAATGAAAAAGTGGTGATTGTATGTATGGTATCAGTTGTGCCATTCTACATGACATGGTACATGTGTGGCATCACACCCTTAAGGGGAAGGCAGCACCCAAGATTTACAAATCTTGGGTGTTCACAGTGGAAAGGAATGACAGAAGTCAGAGGTTCTGCAAAAGCTTAAAAAGTTTTACTGGTAAATTACACGCTAAGCATGAAAACTGGTATAAGTCGTGATCTCTTATTGTAACCACATGATGGGTTTTGGATGAAGGGTTAAGGTGAAAGGGAAGAGAGAGATTTAAAGAGGATTAAAGAGGAGAAGAGAGAAAGCAAGAAAGAGAGAAAGAGAGATTATCAGTCCTGGTTCCAGTATCAGCACTGATCTGGCTGAAGGCATGTCCAGGATCCTGGGGCACACACCTGGGCTTCACAGGGTACCTTTATGTAGAATGGTTTCCTCACCCTAGAGATGAGTTTCTCTTTTTTTATGCAATCAGTTCTCATGTGCAGTTCATTCTTTCTGGAAATGGGTCAGAAGCCTTGGGGTGGTCTGGATGGCCCTACAGCCCATGTCCACATCTTGGCCTCATTCCTGCTGTGCTGTGCTGTGCTGTGCTTATGGTTGTCCTGGAAAAGTGCTGCCCTACCTGTGTAGGTACCCTCTGCAGCCACATCCTGCACTTTCTCACAGTGGGTTACTACCAGAAGTCCTTGGTTGGCTCCACAGCTATTTGGATATCAGTGACATACAAATTATCCCCCTTACCTCCTAGGCTTTTACAGCATGGTTGCCATCACCTTCTCACTGGTGTTTGATATCTTTATTAAAACGGTGAAAGCATCAATAGTGCACTGCCATTGTTCTACTAACTCTTCTCGCAGAGCAGGGCAGGGTACATTTATTTGCTATTTATTTATTTCTATGTATTTGGGCCTCACTTAATCATCTTAAAAATGCCCAAAACTTGACCAGATAGCGTTCAATGTTTCTACAAAACCGGAACACCAGTTTTAAAAGATGAAGAAAGATTTTCCATTAAAAACATTCATTAACATCCAAAAGACTATGACATAGCCAAGAAACATCTGGTGTTTTCTTGTGCCAAAGTCTGCCCACCTGTAAAAACTGAGACAGTAACACTTATTTTGGCAATCTTTTCCAGATGAATATGCTGGAATATTGCTCAGGTACTACCAAAAGAGGGAGTGGATACAGAAATATTAATTAATGGTTAAAATTTGGATGTACTCATTATTTAATTTTAAATTCCTTTTCTGTAGTGAAGAAGAATAACATATTCATGACCTCAGCTCTTCTTCAAAGAAATCCTGACTTCATCAAAAGTCCAAGAGAAGGTAACTGTCATTGTAATAATTTTTCACTGTAGCTCCACAAAAATATGAATACAAAAAAAGAACAGCTCTTTTCCATACTGAATGATAGCTAGGTATCTTTATGCAGTTCATGACTTATTGTTTGACAGTGTAAATGTCCTATGAACTCTGGTCTGACCATCTGCTCTGACTACTTATTTCCTGAGTGGACTGAATGTAACCTTCCATAGTGAAATTTCACATTTCACATTTTACTTCTGCTCCTGGAGGAGGCAATGGAGAAACCTTTTGGCATCTGAGGATGCAGAATTAAATCTGAAATGCCAGAAGACATATCTAAAACAAAGCAATAAATATAAGTATAAAGATATACTTAAATATATAAATACAAATATATTTTGTAAGTACAAATAGAATATTTATGTATATAACACATTACTTTTTTATCCTGATAACATAACACATTGGTTTCACTTCAGAGTTGTGAAGTGAATTTTAGAAACCATTACAATTTTTCAGAATATGAAGCAAATAAACAACAGTAAATATTATTTTAAAATGTTTTGAAAGTTTCAGTTAAGAGGCAAGACATATAGGTATGAATTAGATGTGAAGAAAAAGTATATGTTTAAATATTTTGTCTTTGTATTTTGCAAGGATCCTTGTCACCAAGTCAATTGTGGAATGTCATTAGACCTGCCACTTTACAGCCCCCACAAGCCCTGACCTGTCCTGAAATTCCTGTAGTATCTCTAATGACTAAGAAAGAAGCATGTGTTCAGGTAAAAAGAAAAATAATTTTACTGGAACTTAAATTAAGGAAAAAAACCTACCAAACATAAACACTCAAAACAATCAAAACCAAACACCAAACAAACCAGTGCTGTATTAAAGCAATTATTTAATTACTTAATTATGCAGTTAATTAATCATGCATTTAAGAATGCATTATTTTCAAGAAAGTTCCCATGTAAGTTTCAGTGGAATTACTGTATCACTAACATGATATGAAATGTTAAACTCATGCTGACTGTGTTTGGAAAATTATCTCTTCTCTACAGGCTGTCTTATCTTTCTGATATCAGGGTTCTGCGGGAAAATCAGCTTTGGGTGTTTTGGATTTTGTTTATTTAGAAAGTGAGATTTTAGTATTTTAATTGAGGGCACTGGTTTAGTACCCAGCTGGAGGAAGCTCTGCCAACTACATCATCTATTATCCATATCTGTATCTGTCTGTGTATCCTTATACCTTAGTGACTCTGGATTCTAGCAGACCTGTTAATAGTAGAAAATATACTAGCTGTAATTAATCAATTTGATTTTACTATGCCTAGCTATCTGAAGACAGCTCTTATTCATCCACTGAGAATTCAGTAAATTCCAAAACAGCAATGGGGTCATCTATTACCATGAGTCTTTCCAGCTCTCAAAAAACACAGTAAGTTTTTGTTTATTATGTTTCTACATCATCTTGTCACTTGGCTGGTGGCATGCCCTTTCATCATCCATGTCTAACATGATACTAAGCCCATGCAATCTGCACCCACACAGGCTCTCTGGTGTTTGTGTGCAGTGCCAGGATTTGTGTCCATTCATATGAGCTTCATATGCCATAAAAAAATGGACTCCTAACTGCAGTTAATCTCTGTGGGACAGGTGGTTTCTCACTAGCAACCAAGCCAGAAACTATTCTGGTTTGCCATCTCTCTTCTGACTGCATGTCTGCTGCATCTCAAAAAAAGGGTACATAGAAACTCAGGAAATTTCATTCTTTTGAGGAATAACCCATATATTTCAGTATATTGGACACAAGAAGCATAAAGGAAAAAAAACAGGATTGATTTGGAATACCAGGTGAAAGCTGCAATTGATGCTCTACTTTCATTCACAAAGCAGAACTTCTGGCACGAGAAGCTGTTTGTGGTGACTGTGATAGGCTGGCCTTTTTGTGCAGCACAGACTTCAGAATTTGTGTGAGGAGGCTGATGTCCTTGGAGTAGGTTGTTTCCCCATCCTCTTGACACTGTATGTGATGGAAAGAGCGCCATTCTTGGAGATTAATCAGATTCTAACTAAAAGCTGGAAAACTTGTGTCATATGTGACAGAAATATGGTGCTGGGAAAACACTGGCTTCTGGTCATGTGTTCAGCTTTGCACAAGGTTTTGCTTGGGAAACAGAAAGGGTTCAAGGCCAGCACTGAGAAGAAGCCATACTGGTGCAAAAGTGGGCTATTACCTCTCTCTGAGGACTGACTCATGAGAACTCTAGGTCTCTGGTTGTCTCATGTATTAATACTGCTTGCTGATCTTGATGAGGGTTTTTTACCTGGAAATTGTGAGCATCAGGAATACACCTGGTATCACTTTTGATGAGAGAAGGACTTTTCAAAATTGCTAGGGCCACAGATAATAGATTTCTAATGCTGCCTAATTCCCTCTCCTACCCAAGGAGAGCATAGAATATGTAAATTGCAAAAGAGTCTGTGCCAGGGCTAGATGGACCACAGATAAAGGTTGTGATGCACAATACCAGGGTTCTTAGGAGGCAAGGGAGTTTAGATGCACGAACAACATAGATTCTTAATTCCTATCAAAAAAAAAGAACCATTAGAATCATTAGAGGGCAGACGCTTGCTGTGATTTTGGAAGAACTAACCTTTTGTATTACATTTAGTGCTGTTGTGATGCCCTCTGGGGACAACATGAAGCCACAGAGCACACTGGGTTTTTAGGAGAATCTGAATGATGGTAATGCACGTAAGAAAAGCTAAATCAGCTGCTGTTGGTACTTTAAATTTAAATTTATTTACCTTCTGTCAGCTGCATAATATCTAGGAAAAGATTGGTGAGTGATTTTCTCCTGTGAAGTAGAGAAATGCAACGCAGTGATTCGGTGCCAACAAGTTAACTTAAAGGTACTTGTGGTATTTCTTTCCCTTGTCTTTTTTTTTTTTTTCACAAACACCATGCTTGGGGTGTTTGGGCCTCATGAATTCTAGAATATCACAACAGTAGTTCTATCACAATCATGGTAAATGTTGGTTCCTTTGACAGTTGAAAACTAATTTAAATACTACCAGGTGCCTACTGCTATTCTGAGATTGCAGATGGATGTAAGTGCCATTCTTCTGATCCATATTAAGTGACTGATGCTGTAAAATACTTAGGTAAAATCTTTCTGGCATTGCTGTTTTCTCATCAGTAAGAAGCAAATTACATTATTAAACTCTGTATACATGCTGAACAGTAAGTGAACATTGCAGCCAGACCTCATTGCTAAGAAAACAACTTTTTAGGTTTTATTTATAAAATAAAATGCAGAGATTGCTTTGCTCTCTCTCACTTTTGCTCCTCTTCCACATCTTCATCTATCCGTTATATGATTCTGTGGAGAGGCGAGTGAAAATACCTTGTTATCCCCTTGCAGTTGCTGCAGCTGTCCGTGTTCCATGAAACCACTAATTTTCATTTCCTGGGGTGACTATAATAATAAAGTGCAAAGGACAAAATTCCAGTTTGTTGATGCTGATGAAAAGCTTGGAAAACTTGTGTCACAAGTGACAGAAATACAACAGTGGGAAAATACAGGCTTGCACTCACATCAACTCAACTTTGCACAAGGATTTGCTTATATAACTGAAAGGGTTTGAGGCCAGCACTGGAACTGGCAGCTACTCAGACCTTTTTGGACACTCTGAGAAGGCCAGTACCTGAATCATTCCTCTCATAATCCCATCTGAGTACTTGATCCATATTTCTCCTCCAATTGTTCGTTGTTAGTGATCATTCCATGATACCAGCGACTGTGTGTTGTATCTCCATGACAAATGCCATCCCTGGGGCAAGAACACTTTGCATCCCTGACAATGCATCCCTGGCAAGAACACTTTGTTCTTGCCATACAGCAACATAAGGCTATTGAGGTTTTAATAACATTTTAAGGCTGGCACTTCCAGTTGACTTTCTCTTAAAAGAGAACTGATTGCATTGATTAATTTTTCTTACATTTCTGAATATAATCAAAACAATTTCCTACATTTTTTCTTAGAAATAAGCCTCTAATTCTTGTTTTTTTTAGCTCTTTTGCAGTGCTGTCCTTAAGCTGCTATTGGAACAACCTAGAAGTAGCAGCTGAAATGTCAGTATGGAAATTGGTCACATTCCAGTGAATTTTAGTGAGGAATGTGTTTAAGAATAAAAAACTCATTAACACACTTCAGATTTCCTGTTCATGGCCCAGAACATGCATAGAAGCTTTAAAGGCTGAAAAAACAAGTATTTACTGATTTCTCTGTTTTGCTCCTAGCAAATGTGTTGTCTTAGCAACACATCAAGCATAAGAATGCTAAGGAGTATTTTTCTCATTAAAAAAGATGGAGAGAGGTAGTACTCGGTGAGCCCTTCATCCTTGAAGAGGTTTTAAGCACGCTGTAGTTGTGAACAGAGAAACTATTTTAGAGGAAATCATCAAAGTTCTGCCAACAAACCCAGCTAATTAACAGGAATATCCTGTACATGACATATGTTATGTTAAGCCCTCCCAAGGGTGATAAATACTGTGAAACAGAAGTAAGTGGTGCTGAAGAATGCACCACTTGTGACACAGTATCAGGCTGCCTTTCTGCCAAGTCATCCTTCTGGAACAGAAAGTGAAAATAACTTGCATGGTTTTGCCTATGCCAGTAGGACGTGCAGGATTGAGGTCTACAGAAAGCACAAACAATGTACAACCCCTTCATAAAAAGAACAAAACCAAACAAATCAAAACCAAAACCAAACCAGCAGCAGGAACAACTTCCACATAAAGGAGTTTACAAGGATTTTTCTAGTGACTTTTGCAAGAAAAAGAACCCTATTAATTTAAATTGGCTATGTAATTAGCAAGTCCAATCACAATTCTACTTGTATAGAATATTCTTGAATGTAATCTCTAAAATATAGTTGGCCAGTACCAAAGGATTGCAAGTATTGAGTTCGCTTCTCATCTTACATATATCTCTGGAACAGGTAATTGAAAAATGGAAACACTTTTCCCTCCTCTTTTACTCACACCTCATCTTAAGCATTCTGCTATCAAATCTATACATTTTTTCAGTATTTGTGTGTGTATGTGAATACATTGCCTTCCTGCACTTCCAAAACATGAGGATGATGAAGGAATGCCTGTAAGGCACCAAAGTTTACATTATTCTGCACAGAAGTGGAGAACTTGAAAGGATAGGTGTTAATTGTTGGTAGTCCTTTGGAGAAGCAAAAGGAAACTAAAGCAACTCATTAAAATTTCTGGAGTAAGACACTTCCCTGAGGAGAAGTGGCATGCTGTTTTACTGCTTGTTCTTTCGTCCTAAGGAATGGCCTCAATAATCTTAATGAAATTCACTGCGATACTCTGTTCCTTTTGTGAAATTTTCCATAGAGAATATTCTCAAATTCTCTTAAAGAATTTATCTGATTACTTAGGTGATTACTCTTTAGTTTTTCTTTAATGTTAGGTGTGGTGAATCTTTAAAGTGCTTTAAATGTGGTGAATCTTTAAAGTGCTTCTAAATCACATTCTTATGTTATTTTGTCCCCACAGAAGTCAGTTGCTTAAAGAAAGAAGTGTACAAAACAGCAGCAATTCAGATTTTGTGTTTGGGGAAAACATGGTTGAAAGAGTTTTGGTTGCATCTGCACATGCTGGCAGACTTTTTATCAAGGTTAGTGTACTTAAGAGTGCGATTACTTTTTCAGATATTGGTTCTTTTTAGGTCGTCCTTCTTTTAAAGATGTGAGTAATTATGGTTCCAATGTCTCGTGAGGAGAAAATATCTAAGGATGTGCTGCTGGAGGAGTAGGCATTCCTATCTTCACCACCCTAGACAGGTTCTTTAATTACTAATGCTTACCAATATGCACTTCTGGATTTTTACTTGAAAAAGAGTTTTTTATCTCTTCCATGTGAAGTGGAACACCCACAACATAAGATAAAACATTGTGGTGGTTCCTACTGCTCAAATAACTTCCATAGTAACTGTAAGAGGTTGGATGGGTTCCCTTCCTGAAGGGAAGCCGACAAGAAAGCTGAAGGGAGACTGTTCACAGGAGTGACAGGACAAGGGGAAATGGCTTCAAACTGAAGGACAGTAGGTTTGGGTTTGCTATTAGGAAGAAATTCTTCTCTTTGAGCGGGTGAGATCACTGTAAAACATATGCCTAGAAATGCTGTGGAGGCCCCATCCCTGGAGGTCATCCAGGATGACCATCCAAGGCCGAGCTGGATGGGGCTCTGAGCAACCTGGTCTAATTAAAGGTGTTCCTTCCCATGGCAGAGAAGCTGGAACCAGATGATTTTTTAAGGTATCTTTCAACCTAAACCATCCTGTGATTCTGTGATAAAAAAGTGTGAAGGAAAAAGTGGACACCTCAGAGAGTGTCCATGTTAAAGCATAATGTGCATGCTTGTGAGGCAGCTTATGCCCTGAAGGGCTCTGGGACAAAAAAGTGGTTCTGAAGCTGAGGACTGCACCATTGAAAAGAGATTTGAAATTCAGTTTTCAGTTGAAGTAGGATGAAAACTGTATGCTTATCTGGCAGGTAAAAAGCTTGGCAACCATAGGTTTGGGGTATGTCTTCTGGCCAAGATTTTTTATAAGGTATGAGTTGAGACACTGAGCATTGTCAGGAGCCACAAGAATTTATTTAGACATGACTAAGAAAATTTATCTGCAAAACTGAAGGTGATAGAAATTTTTAAGTCTTCTGAAGTTACGTTTGTGGTGTCTGGGCATTTTCTACTACTCTTCTGGGAACTTATGGGCCTGAACTGGAAATGAACCAGTACCTTAACACCTAATTTCTTCAATGGATTTAAATACTCATCCACGATCCACACAAAGAAGTTATTCTTCTCGAAGAAAGAAAGGTGTTCTGATTCTATGATAGTAGTATTACTTCCTCTAGAGACTGAAATTGTATCATGTGGGCTACTTTTACTCTAAAGCTATTAAAATTGGTTGCCTTCAGCCTAGCATGCTATCATTATTCAATGTTCTATTTGATATAAATTAACATAGCCATTTTTTAAAATAAGAATTCTTATTTCCCCTGTGTTTTTCCAGAGTCCTGAGAAGCATCCCAAGCTGTGCAATGAAGCTGATTTACACAAAGGAGAAATAACGTCCATGTCCACAAGATCTTCTCATGTCAGGCCGCAAACAAGTAAGCATACTCAGCAAACAAGCACAGTTGGCTTTATTGTTATATCTCACTGTATTTTAGAGGATGTCAAATGAGTGGTGGTCAATAATTTTCATCTATTCTCAAGATATCCAGTCATGACTATGCTTAGAGTATGTGCCAAAATCTATTTTCAGAAAGCAGGCAGAGTTTGTTTTATGACATGTGAACTGGACTAACTTCAGAAAGCATGATCTGAATTACTCAAGAAAATACTACAGAATATTATTATTTAGTACAGATTATTATTTATTGTTTGAAGAAAAATGCAGAGACCTTTGTGGACATTGTTGAATTAAAATTTTAGGCTGTCTGCTGCTTGCATTTTTCAAATTCTCATATCAATTACTTTGTTATTTTGGATTACAACTGTGGGACTGAAAGGTCTACATAGACAGATTTCAGGGTTTGTTTGTGACTCTGGTGTGAGATTTCTACTAAGCAAGGCATGCAAACGTAGGCTGTGAGGGAGTCCCCAGCAGGCCCCTGTTGTGAGCCTTCTTGATAAATTCTGCCCTCCTCTTTACTAACAGATGTATTAGATCCTATGATTTGTGTAAGCATTCTTATAAGTAAAAAAATTCTAAATATAAAGCCCTCAGAACATGTGTATAGATTATACAAGGATACAGAAAGTTGTTCCTTTCAAATATTGTCCTTCTCTGTTCCTGTTAAATATTCATTATAAATGTGTTATTATTCTGAATATTTGGATATGTATACTTGGCATAACAATATATCAGATGAGTTTAATTTGGAAAATCAGCTTCTAAATATTTAGGCCTTGTTTCTGATTGTTCCTATTTGTCCCTTGGGACAAACCTCTGCAACTATAAACAGCCCTGTTCAATTCTGTAAAAGCCTTTTTAGTGAGGTATTTTGTATTCCTGCCTTTTCCTCTAATGTTTGTTCCTTTGGCCAAAAACTTAGTAATAACACTAAACAATGTCAGATACCGCAGGTATTACTGAGGTCACATCCTGTGTGACCTGTACTAGTTTTGTTATCCTAAAAATATTCCCAAAATACTCCCTGTACAGAAAGAATTTCTTTTTTTTTTCCTGCAGAAAGACGTTTGTTGAAGAATGCAACACTAATTGAATCAGCAGCTGCTTGTGTTTCCAAGCCAGTGGAGAAAATCCTGTTAGATAAAGTTGAAGTTATAACTGGAGAAGAAGCAGAACAAAATGTATTGCAGGTGTGTATTTCATAAAACCTTGACGAGTAGTTTAGTTGTTGAAAAGAATATCTAGATCAGCTGCAGATGCAGCAATCTGAAAATAACTTCAATTTATGTTTTAAATTTTTGCCTTTTTTTAAGCTATGCCTCAGCTAACCCATTTTTCTGTAAGTTGGTATGTTCTTTTTCATACTATATTTGTTCATTTTGTAGTCTCTTTTAGTAAGTTACTATTTCAGTGGTATTTTATAAGCATCTACATAGTATAATAGCTGTAATCACAACCTTAGAACTGGAAGTGATTTCAGTAAAGATGGGGTTTATGAAAAAGATTTTTTAGGGAAAAAAAGCAATGTGTTGTAAAAGTAATTTGTTTTATAGTTCAGCTAAAATAGCAATTATCTTTCCAACCTGGCTGAGCATATCTTGTTATTCTTTGTCTTCAAAATATTATTTTCTCAGAAAATAGCAATTATGATTTAAAAAATCTTAACATTATTTTATTTTTGATTAATTTTTCTGTCTTAGCAGAACACAAAAGTTTTACTATCTTGGGAGCAGTACTCTTCTAGCAGTACTGGTATCCTGTTGCATAACATTTGTGAAGAGTGAGGAAGTAAGGTTGTACAACTTTTGCAGCAAATTTAGCTATGCTGGTGGATATCACAGACTGCTGCTACCCTTAAAAACACAGCAGCAGCAAAACTGAAGGGCCTCAGCAACTTTCTCAACAGACAAAGAGTTAATAAAGATGAAATAATTGAAAAAGTAAACTGGGACTCATGCTGAATGTTTTCTATGGTGAGAAAAGAGTTCACAGATCTAACAGCCCTTTCATTTTAAGTAGTAAAGGTGATACATCTATATATCTATGTATAGATATATCTGTGTACCTTTCTGCACATGCCGTGTAATACATGGATGTATTAAAAGCCATATCAAAAGTTTTACAACCATAAAGTTGTAAATGTAAAGTTGTTATTTTAGAGCCAATAAAACTAGCGTTAGCTGGCAGTTTTCATTATGTATTTCTCTTTCAGATTAACTGCAAGCTTTTTGTATTTAATAAGCTTTCTTTAAGCTGGACTGAAAGAGGCAGAGGATCCCTGAGGCTTAATGACACTTCTAGCAATAAGCATGGAATGTTACAGTCAAGGCTAAGTACGAGTTAAATAAAGAAATATCCCATACAGAAAACATCAAATAACTTGTATTATTGTTGGCGAGAGTTTATTTCAGAACATTTAAATCTGAGAAGATTGTTGTATTTAAGTCAAGTTGCTAAGAATCTTTTTACGTGATAAAGTTCTGTGTGTTCCAGACTGAGGAACTGGGCTCACGTACATTGTTAGGTTCTCTGAGGTACTTCTCTGTGTACTTCTCTGATGTACTGTGTCTTCAGCCCAGTCACCAGGCTAACAGTTTGCTCTTTGTTGGTTCTGCTTTTTCAGCAGCACTGTTTCAAGACTCTTCTGGAATGTTGTTTTTAATGTGCTGTCACTCTTTTGTACTGTATTGCACAGTTTCAGCAGATTACTTCCTTTGTGTGCCAGACATATTGAAACAAAGTACTATATTTGGATACTAAAAAAGTAAAAATCTCACTATATCAGGATTTTATACCAAATCAAAAAGAATAATTTTTGAAAATATTAGTTGTATACAAGTGCTGGAGAAAACAGCTGCAGCATATCTTATCATATTAACCTTCTTATTTTAGTTATGCGAAATCAAGGTAGCTTGAGACTGATTCTCAACACCCAACTGTGGGAACAAATGGTTATAAAAAGAGCAAACAGAAAGAGCCTGTGCTTCACTGCCACAGATCAAGAGGACCATTCTGTTAAAGTATTTCTAACTCAGGTGAGTAGGAGACAACAGCTGCACCCAAAACCCCACTTCATGTAGAATTCTGAAGGGTTGTTGAAGGCTGGTTTTAGCAAATGGCCTTCATGCTTTATCAAACTGTGCTCAGCTTAGATGTTACATGACTTTTATTATGGAATGCATTAGAATCAAAAAACAGGTGTGATGATATGATCTGGCCTTAAGACAGACGTTTCCAGACTCTGGTTCACCTACCACCAATGGAATGGATATTGTTCCAATAATGTGCAGAAATGGCTCTTCTTTAATGAAAGCAATACACTTACAATTTCTTCACAAGTAGTTAACATTTTGTAAATTACTCTGGTAGAAGGCAGCAGCTTTCTGCCATAGTTCTCAACATAGCACTTGCAATAAATCCAACCAGGGCAGGACCTCCATTTCTCAGTTGAGAAGAATACAGAGTTCCAACATCACCTTGTGTAAGACCCAAGGATGTCCTGGGAATCCTGATTTTATCCAGCAAGGGCTAAATTGGAGAAGGAAATGTGCTGGACTTATTTGCAAATAGATAGCCCATATGTCCCTAGTTGGAAAGTGAGAACATCCACATGAGTCTAAGGATGTTTATGGTTTCCCCAGCAGATCTTTCTAGGAAGGATTCAGCTTGCTGGGAAAGACAAATAAATCATCATTTCCAGGAAGTGTCACATATCATACACAAGCAAAGCACCATGCAGTGTTTATGCAAGTACTGTAAATCTGTCACTTCTTAACAGGGATTGACTTAACTTAAGACTTAACATTGACTATGGCTGTGCTGGACTGCTGGTCTGCATGTGAGAATTACAAATGTCCTGATTTCCAGGTGTACTGCACTGTTTTCATAAAGAGTGTAATTTACATTCCGTAAATTTGTATTGGCACTACTGGGCAGTAAAAATAGACATCTATGAGGAAGTCACAATAAATGAGAGCTGTATGGGTGTGGCAAGGGTTGCAGGAACCTGCTTCTACAGACACTGAAGAGGCTTGTTATCCATCCCTACAGTATCTACCTGGAGACTGTATATATTAATATGTCAGGACTTTCCTACTTCTAGAATCAAGCTCAGGAATCATCCAAATATCAAATACTCCATAAAAACTGATCTGTTCTCCAGGGAAAGTAATTTTTAAGCTTATGTTTCTTGTAACTATAGAGAAAATAATCAACAGCAGCATATAAAGCTCAGACCACATAAAAGAACTTCACATTATTTGTAGTTAATATTTCGATGTTAATTATTAAGTGTGGATCTTAAGCTGATTGTTTTGATTAGAAAGGACAAAGTACAACTCTTTCAATACTTTTAAATGAATGTTTTAAAATAGACATTTTTCTCAGTTGTTTTGCACTGTATACATTTTATGTTCTGCAGGCAAGCTCAAAAGACACTGAACACCTTTATGCAGCAATACATCATCGCCTTGTGGCCTTGCGGAGCTTTGCTGAGCAAAAGCCAGATGCTCATCAGGGAGACACAGAGCCAGAAACAGCTTTTCAGCCATTAAACTGTGATAGTGATGATGAAGATGATGAAGAACTAAGTCAAGTGAGCAGCACTGGATCTGGTAAGTGGAGGTTTTGCTGGAAATGTGTAATCCTTTCAGGGTATTTGCTTAAAGTAATGAAATGAATGCTTAAAGTAATGAAAATTGTACCTTTTTTTAATGTTGACTATAACTTTTATCTGATACAGATACCTCTTTTCAAGTAGAAGTCAGGTAATTCCTTTTAGTATTTTGATTTATTACTGTTAAAATGTAAGATTTTCCCAGCTAAAGTATCAACACATATTTATAGCCATGGAATACTCTTGACAAAAGCTTCAGGTTTAAGAAATTTTATATTATCAATCATTATCTAAATGCTTTTTCAGTATATTTCAGTAGAAATTACTAGGGATGTTGAGATACTGATTTTACCTTGAGTAAGTGAAGAATGAGTCCATTCACATCAGTGACTAGCTTGTTACTAAAAGTCTACAGCACAACGTCTTTATGAAGATATTTATTATGTCATGGTTAACTTTATTTAAAACATGTTCCTTGATTGTAACAACTAGCTCAACTAGGAAATCTGCAGGACAACATTACACACCAGTTCTGCCAGCATTCTTCATAGCAAAAATGTAGATTTCTCAGAGAGAAAAATGCCAGTAAAATAGGATATTAATGCCTTAACACTTCTTTTAATGCAACTCACAACAGGGATACAGTCACATCTCCAGACAATAAGACAGAAAGAGCTGTTAGACCTAAAAGCTCTTATATCTCAGCAAAAGACAAGTCATATTTCTGGAGCAAATTCACTGCTCTTGTCAAACTGCCACAGGGGATACAGGAGCTTCTAATTAGGTGATTTTTCAACAGATGGACTACATCAGGCAACTTAGAGTTGTTGCTCACAGGATTTGTTTCCCTCTGCAGCTAGGTAACATACTGTCCTTATATTATAAACATTCCTTTCAACAACTCTTCATCAAGAATCAAGAAATGAACAGTAACAGCCATAAGTACTGTTCCCCTAAGGAAAAAAAAAAATTCCCCTTTATCACAGAATCATAGAATATTCTGAATTGGAATGGACCCTTAAGGATCATTAAGTCCAACTCCTGGCCCTGCACAGCATGCCCCCAGAGTCACACCATGTGTCTGAGAGCATTATCCAAATGCTTCTTGAGCTGGATAATGCTGTGACCACTGCCCTGGGAAGCTGTTCCAGCGCCCAACCACCCTCTGGGGAAGAACCTTTTCCTAATATCCAGCCTAAATCTCCCCTGAAACAACTTCAGCCCATTCTCTTGGGTGCTGTCACTGGTCACCACAGAGAAAAGATCAGTTTCTGCTCCTCTTCCCCTCATGAGGAAGCTGAAGACCCCTGTGAGGTGTCCCCTCAGTCTCTTCTTCTCCAGGGACAACAAGCCAAGTGACCTCAGCTGCTCCTCATGCAGCTTCCCTAAACGCCCTTCACCATCTTGGTTATCCTCCTGATAGAACGCAATACCAAACAGATATACGAGTTATATATTTATTTTGATTTGCAGAAACTTCTGATACAAATATTCAGATCGCAGCCACCAAAGATATTCTGAAATGTGTGAGGTGTTGGGTTTTTTTTGTCTTTTCAGTCTAAGCATCTGTGCCTCATTTATTCCAGTTTGTAACAACAGTTTTAACAATCCCTTTTTAAGCACTTTTTAAAATGACTTCTAGCTCTTCTGCTTATTTTAGTGTCTTCTCAGAGCCACAGGGTTTTAGTTTGCACAGATTTCAGTTACTGGTATCCAAGTCACTCTCCACCTTCAGACATTCAGTCCCACTCATGACTGTCCCTGGAGCTCCTTTTTACAAAAATGGAAGAATAATAGGCCTTATGGGTTTTGGACAGGAAGAGGTCAGTTTTAAATATCAGCATACAAATGTCCATTTAGATACAAGAGAACATATCATGTTTTTTTAAGAGCATTAGTTTTAACATTTTTATTTTCATTCTTTCATTTTCATTGAAGGGTGTATGTAAATAAGTAATCTTCTTCATATTGATGTAACTCAGTCTCGGAGCTTACCTCTCCTTAAGAAAATATAAATGTTAAGAAGCCTAAGTCCTCAGGAACTGTTTCTTTACAAGAGATATGAGAATTTACAAAATATGCCTGCATTTTATGTCATTCCATTCTATCTGTTTTTCTCATGCCCCCCCCCCCCCCCCCCCCCGCCGTGGTTTTCTTTTCTTAATATAGCAATTTCCTTCTTGTTAAAATGAACTCATGCAGTTGCCTAGATGATGTATTTCATGACACTGTAAAAGACATCAAAAATTAGATCTTTATTATCTTTATAGTATCTTCATAATGATTGTCTTTAGTGCTTGAGACTGAAGAAGAAAGCAAATATGATATATTTAGTAAGTGAATTATGGATGTTTAAGTGATTCTGAATATTTGCAAGACTGTTGTAGGCATTCCTTACAGAAAATTCTTAATCTACAGTATGTTAATGCCATATACAGACAATGTATAAGGTAGTAGAGATTTTTGTATGATTTCATGAGTTCAGTATGGACATTTATTCCAATATTTTTTAAAATTCCTAGTTGATTTGCTTTACTTTTCATAAAGTCCATAAAGAGAAATTTGCTGTGCCTGATATTTTTATCAGATCATATTTTACCAGTTACAGCCTAAATATTTTTACCAACAAAATGCTCTGTAAATCTAAGTGGAGAGAAAAAGAACAATTAACCTTTAAATAGATTTTGAGAGTGGATGGGGCCAGTAAGTCTTTGGAAAGTATTTATCTTCTCCCTTTGCCTATAAAGTGAGCTGAGGAAGTGAATTTAGACTAAACAGTAAACTTATTGGCCGAACAAAGTCAAACAAGTAAAGTACATGGGAGGTACAAGGACAGCACTGTCAGTAGGCAAAGAAAAGTGTTATGCATTACTCCTTATACTCCACCTCGCTGATCTGAAATCTTCTCCTAACGTCATCCTGATTGAGGAATCATCTCTTTTGACTGAGGTGTCCTCTCTGTAATTTTATCTTAGAAGCTATTAGAATGAATTCAAAGATTCTGGAATCTAGGACTGGGTAAGTCTCAAGAAGTCTCTCCATACTCAGCCATAGGCCTTACAAGAAAAATCACAGCATGCAAAAAGACATAAGAGTGTATCCCATATGGATCCACAAAGAATTGCAAGGGTTTTCAAGACTGCTGGTATTGAGAGGCCATAGTCTCCAAACACCAGCAGTGTGCTGGTCCGAGAGAAAGACAGTATCCTAATATAGAAATGCAAAAAAGTACATGTATTTGCAGAACTGAAGAATGTTTTAAGGACCCTTTCTGGTCCACTCTACATGTACTTCCATCTCAGTTTCATGAGGAGTCTCTCTTATGCTGCAGTTTATCAAGATTTAAAATGTCGCAAGAGTTTTCTTTCTATTTTGCAGTAAAGTACTTTTAAACTTCTTAAAGGAACTGGCTCTTCAGCAACACCACAGTAACTCGTGAAAAACTGCTTTGTTTGGCATTTCTTGTCAATTTACTTTAAATTCTTCTCAGTTGTTAAGGATTCCAAACTATAAAGCTGACACACACATACTTGATGGTGATTAAAACTGAGGAAGAAGGAAAAGTTAAGAATTAACTTCTTTGTTGGAGTTTCTCTATTCTTTTCAGCAGGCACCAGTAATATCTAAAGCAGAGAAAAAAGACTCTATGACTGGTTTTAAATGCTCCCAATCAGCAAAGAGAAGGGGGAAGATCAGTTTTTAATATTCTAACAAACACAAGCTTTCATTTCACTTGTAAAAGATTTTAAACTCTTGGTAAATATTTAGGGGTGGCCAGATGGTAGTAGCAATTTTTAAGCAGATACTGTGAAATGGTATTATGTGTCTGACATTATTAGTCAGCTCTACCTACTTTCTGCAGATGAGTCAAAGTCACAGAGATTACACACCAAAACCACTTTCTCATAACCAATGAGCTGTTTGAAGGTATGTTGGATTTCTCAGAGTTTTCTGAGCATCTGTAATGAGGTCTTAAAGCATTATCTCCACAGAGTGAGATAATTTGCATCCCGGGTACATTGCCCTACCTAGCCATCAGATTCCTTGGTGTTTTTTGTGCTTGTCTTTATTGACTTGGAGGGTCATAGGCTTCATTCATGATTCACATGCTCAAATATTTGTGAATAATCCTCTGTTATCTAGTTACCTATTTACCTAAACCAGGAACTGATCATATCCAAACTTTAACCTACTGCTTTGGTATTATGAAATGCTGGATTGTTTCAAAACATGAATATGCTCAAATAAGCAAGATTTCTTTCAATAAATTCTTTTCCAGATCATTCTGGATGGAACCGCAGGCAGTCTGTTGTCTGCTCATGATATCTGCCAGAAGCTACAACAGCTCAGCTGGGAACTCATCTTCCCAAAATGTCTAAGCTGATTTATCAGCCCCTGGAGGGAGGAAATGAGATGCATATTACTTTATTACTTTTAAGTAGAGATTAATTTTAGAGACAGCTTAAGTTTAATTCATTGAGAAAGAACTTCAGATGCACTATTGATGATTCCAGGTAGCCTGCTTTGCACTGAGCTGTGAATAACACCATGGCTTCCAATAGTCAAGAACTGTTACAAAGTCTTTCAATTTTAGAATTAAATATATTTAGATACATTATTAGAGTGAGGAATTTTATAGGGAATACGTACTTGTTCATCATATTGATGGATAATACCACATAAGCATGAACTAATAATATATGTGAACAGATATTTGTTACTTTTAATCTATTATTTAAAAGATACATTTGGAAAGCTTTAAATTTTGCTTCACTGAAAACATTTATTTAAAATTGTGTGGTAACATTCAGCATCCTGTTTGTAAGTACATGCAAGCAAAACCTAGGGTGGAAGTTTAGCGTGACCAAGGCCTATAGAAACTAGCCCCTATAGAAACACCCCCTATACAAGGGGTTATATTTAATGTTTATTTTGAAAATATCTGGAGTGGTATACTTGCTGCAGAATTTTGTTTAAGGGAAAAGAACCATGATCTGCATCTTTCAGCTGTATGCAGCAAAAGAATTCACCATGAAGAAGTAAAAGCCTGTTCTAAGGGCTATATCAGCTTTAAAATTTTAAGTTGTATCTGCTTGCTCATGAACACCTTTCTAGCTGAACAAAACAAACACCTGCACTTGTGTATATTAATTGTCCATTTGATATACACAAATAAATGCACGCACAGTACAACAGGATATCTACATTAAATGTGTGAGATTATCTGAGATTATTTCTGCCTTAGCTGTTGCTATTCCTAACAGCATCATTCATAAGTATGTTACACATTCTCATGTGCACAGTAAGTCCAACAGTGACCAAGACACAGCTGCTCCATAGAAGTCATTCCACAAATTAATGTCTTCTACCTAAATATTTTTGTGAGAAAAAACTCCAATTCACCTGTGAATCAAGACTTGCAGGGTCATTCATAAGCCCATGCAAAGTAAAACACACTACTTATGTTCCATGTTTTCATTCTGTCAAAATTACAATTTGTCTGCAATCTCTCCACTGCCACTTTCCTGATGTCCTGCACATTGTTTGTCATCCTCACAGCTGAAACAATGTTCTGAAATATCTCAAGTCCTTTTAATTAAGGTAATTGTAATGATTTCTCAATCTAAAAAGCTACAACACACCTGATCAGTCAAGCTACAATTTAGTTTTCCCATTTGAACATGGTATGAAGGTGGAACAATACTAGTTTCTTCCTGAATTCTCAGTGCACTGCCAAGATTAGTATCCAGATGAAGCTGAAATAGTTGTACGGATTACACTGAATGTAATGGCCCACCAAAATTAGCACTTCTCTGACATTGATTTAGCATTTGGATGACAGTAAATTTAAGTGGAACTTGATTTCTGCCTTCAGAATAAAGGAACTGCTTCCCAGCAGAGCACCTGTGTCAAATAGTGAAGCATGGGGATTCTCTTTGATTCCAGTCTGCCAATAACAAAAATATTGTTTCCATAATGAGCTGTACATTGTGTCCTTTGTTATCAGCCTCACTCCTGACCACAACAATATTTACATCACTGACCTTCATATTTCATTGCTGCAACTCATCCTCAGGGACAAAGCTCCATGTTATAAAAACTCAGGCAGTTGTAAAACATAGCAGCCCTATGTATTTAGCAACAGGTCATGGTGATATGTTTGCCCTGGAGTTCAGCTGGCTATGCGCTGAATGCAGAGTTTGATTTCAAAGTCTGTCCTGATAATCAAAGCTGTCTGTGGAACAGGATTTAAGCACCTCAGTGACACAATACCCCTCTAAATTCTACTACAGCTGTAAAATCCTTGGTAAATGAGGGAGGTTTCCAGGGCAGGGACAACAGAACTTTTTCAGACACAGGACTTAAACTTTGTAATTTGCTCCCAAAGCATACAGAACAAGGTTTATAAATAAAAGCTATTTTGATCTGCCTCTTCCCAAGATCCTTAATGTATACACAAGTATACATATAAACACATACACTCATGTGCACACATACTCAAACATGAAGCTTCATCTCCCAAAAGCTGAGGAGGAGAAAAGATGTTTATTTTAAAGACATTGGATACTTTGGTAATAGAGGAAAAAATTTTTGCTCTTAAAAACCTAATTATGTGTTCTGTTTAGTTTCATGGCACTAAAGTTCACTGTTCCTCAAGCCTGAAGGTACACCATTATGTAATGTATTAAATTGCTTTTAAAATGTAGTTTGTCATTTTATGACATCTGGAGAGCAATTTCTGCACCTCAACAATAAACAATTTCCTTACCACTTAAATTTCTAAGAGTCTTATTTTGCGTCCCAGCTAGAGCTTCCATTAATTAAGAGTACCATGCTGCAGAATCTCAAGCCTGCTTTCCTAAGGAAAGAATATGTAAGTGGTTGTGCATGCCATCCACCTATCTGTCAGACCCACACTGAGTCCACTGTTCAGTTTCAAAGAATTGCACAGGAGTTAGAATGCTCTAAGACAATTTAAATTCTTCATGAAAATTAGCAGTTGCTGAATGACAGAAATCAGAGAAAAGCATCCTTTGAGGAAAAGTTTTCAGGGTAAGATTGGTATTTTCTGTGGTGCTGGTGGGCCTAAGTAGTGTTTTTCTGCTTCTGTACAAGCTGCAGCACTTTCTGGGAAGGAGGAGAAGCAGAGCATGGAAGGATGGGTCCTTGTGGCCTGAAGAGAGGTGTAGAGACATGAATCAATATGAAACCCATATGAGCCCATGTGAAACTAGACATGATTTTTTTTTCCAGATAAAAAATCTATTTATGAGAAACCCCAGTGACTAATTTATATACATAAGGGATGTAGTGGTGGAAGATCTTATATATTCATACAGTAGTAATTTTCCCAAGGAGGGAAAACTAACAGTTCATAATAATATATTCTACTAAGATTAGGAAGTTCTAGCAGAATCCACTTGGATGGGACAAACTGAATGTCCTGCTTTACATTCTGGAGGCATTTGTATCTCTTCATAAATCTTGTCCTGTCCCTCAGGTTTTTATGTCATGCTTTTTAGTGACCTCTGAAATAGTTTTGGCAGACTGTATGAAGTTAAGAGTTAGGTAATATCTCTATTGAATAAATACATACAGGAAAAACTTCTAGCACATCTGCTTTCACTGCTAGTGACAGCCACTATGACATGGACAGGGAGGGAAAGAGCATCTTCATTTCCCTTAGATGGGTTTTAGAGGCCTTACCACGGGGCCATGCTGGCAGGAAAACTTAGAAAAAGCATGCACAGCCTGTTCTACAGCAGTTATCTGTCTAAAAAGTGGACTTCAAATCAGAACAGTTTGTGTTTCTCAAACACTAAAATTATTCATACAAAATAAAGTATCTACAGCTGTTTGAGCATATTCAAATTGCTTCTGAAATGTTGAAGTCAATTGTATTAGACCACTTGAGGGATGGTGTAGTTTGCTTTGCATAAGCAAAGAGTGAGAAGAAAAGTAGAAAAGTAAATATCTGATAATTCAAATATGTTCTAAAGGAAGTGTGGACAACAAAGCTTGCTCCTCTCATTGATTTTGTGTAAAAAAAATCAGTAATTTGCATTTATAAGAATAGCTACACTTACTATGCTTTTCCTTAAGCTTCTTCCTTGATTTTGTAATTTGGAATTTCTGAAGCAAATTACATGACTAAATTACATGACTCAACTATGCAATCAGTGATGAGGGTACACATGTTGCAAGCAAAGTGCAAGCACACGGAGAGGATCTGGGATCAGAAATTCCATCAGACTTCACTTGCTAACACCTTCATCGACGTGCCTGGTGGGACCCTGATGTGCTGCATGAGTGACGCTCTCTAAGTGTCAGTCTGGAGTTTTCCTCTGGATTACCAGAATTAACAGCTGCAGTCAGCTGCTCTCAAAATTCGAGGACTTGGATTTATGAAATGTTACAGTGATGGTGTGTTTACCTCGTCCCCTGTGCATGCACCTCACACTGACAGCATCACCATTTTAAACACAAACAAACCACAAGCAATTTCTGTTACCAGTAGCACTGAGGGTCACATAGAGTAAGTCTAGACAATGCAAATAATTGGGTAAGTTAATGATATACTAGTTATTAAATAAACTATCACAAGAAGGCATTATTCAAAGACTTCAAGAAAGAGTAGAAATGAATAGTTGTCCCAGATTGTAACTGCACTACAACCAACATATACATTCTTTTGGGTGGAAATAAGCTATGTATGGAGATCATCTTATATAAAACGGCTGGCACAGTTGTGCATTGCCAGTTTTACAGCTAGTGAAATAGTTTAGGGAATAATTTATTGTTTATGTAGAATTTTTTCCAGTTACTTTGTTACACAGAATATTTTGTGTATTACATAGGTATTTTTTAAAGTTCACAATATAACTTGAAGCATATAGAGCTGTCTGGTTTTTTATGGATTTGTGTCTTGAAATTTACATCATGTATTATAACTCCTTGGTGTCTAAAATGGGCATTTTTCTGAAGCATTTTTTAACTTCAGGCAATATTGAGGCATCTGTTTCCATGAAGAATTTTTAAACATACTATGCCCAAACCAAACTTGGTTTTGGTCAGCAAGGGGTTCAAAAAGTTGTTACAGTAGAAATTCACTCCTAGTCCACATTTGTGTCCTACAAGGATACCAGGTTTAAATTCCTATATTTATTTGTTTAACTTTGCATGAATTAATCTGTCCCCTAATCTACTGGGTATATTGTTTTAAAGTCATTGAAAATGGAGCATGAAGAGACATGTGATATGTCACAAACTGAATATATCTCAAAATAGGCAAACGGCTATTTGAATATTGTGTGTCTTCTTGCTTTATATCAGGCGTATGCTCAAATCAAGAATTGTAGTGAGGGAGGGGTTAGTGTCTAATGAACATTTTTTAAGTAGGTCCATTTATAAAGTAAGATGCAAACTGTAAGTAATATTCAACAAACTGTATTTCATATGATATAGAAAGTTTAAATCCTTTTCCACAAAGACAACGGGGTATCAGACAATCTGCATACTCTGACAAAGAGCTAGCCTTTCAGAGACTTCCTTCTGGGAACTATAGATTAATCACTTTATAGCCCATGCTTCAGCATTGTTTCCAGATCTTTAATCATCTACTGATTTGAATTTACATTTTAAAATACGTATTTCATATTTTACGATTATAAGCTTGCTGTGGGAATTAATTCAAAAGACCATAACATGATAATTGCATGATTTCAGAATAAAATACTGTTCCATATTCAAACTTAGTGGTTGAAGCTGATTTGATTTTCAAAAATCAAAACAATTCAATAGGCAATACACAAAGCACAAAAATCTTAGACGAGCAGCTAAATGGTCAATTAAGTTATAAAATAGATACCATTCAAAACAGAGTCATAAATTTTCGAAACCTCTTATATCTCTTAGGTCTCAAGGATGTTGTATTACCTATTGCTTTGTACAACCTTTAAGTTAATGGTTATACAGAATGAGGCATTTTCTGGTCAGCAAGGGAATTAGTTATGTTTAATTGGTTTCCTGGTAATCTGTTTTGTGATATTTTTCTTCAAGGCTAAGCTAATCAGTAGACAAAACAATCCTCCTGCCCACCAGCAAAGACTGGAGAGAACCTTTGTTTTGTGGGAAGAGCAGAACAGCTGCAGCTATGCTTATTTCCTAAGAGTTCTGGCAAAGCACTGTAGAGGAGTGCTGCATTGACAGGCAGGAGTTGCTGCTTCGATCCCTTCCCCCAGGGAAGATGAGATACAAGGTGAGTAATGAGAAATGTCCAAGTGAAGCCTTCAGTGCAGAAGGACCGTCTGTGGCAGTCGATGCCTGCACATGCAGTTATTGATAATCATGCAAACCCCCAAAGAATTTCTGGACAGCTTGCTTACAATATTAAAAAGTAACTCAGGATCGATAATTTAATTTTTTTTTTTTAACCTGGACTTGCCAGACGCTGTCTCGCAACGCTGCGGCCAGGTCCCTTCTGCCCTTCCTGACACTGGCAGATGTCACAAAGACCAAAACAGGCACAGATAACGAAATGAGCTTTTAAGCTACATGTATCTCACCAGCTCTGCGCACCAGATGCAATGTTTAGTCCTTCTAAAACACAGCACGTGCTGTGTTTTCCCATCTCTCTGAATTATTTTCCGAAAGTTTTTTCCCGTCCCTCCTCAGTTTCCCAGGGAAGCAGGCCGGCGCCCAGCGGGGCGATCCCACCTGACTTCCTTCCACCGCCTGCATGGTGCCGGCCCGCACCCGCTGCTCCAACGGGGTGAAGTGTCACTAGTAATAAGAGCACGGTCGCTGTCTCGTGGGGTGTGGGGGACACTGTTGAGGAACACTGCTTAGTGTCAGAACACTGCTTGGTCTCAGAATTCCTGTCTGTTCCCCCAAGCTATCTGAAGCTTCGCTAATGCACTATTATCAGTTCGTATTTGCCTTTCTGCCGTGCTGTAAAGCTATCACAAAGGCCGAGGACAGGAGTAGCAACACGTGAGATTTCCACACGCGCGATCTAAGACCAAGTAATTTCTCCCTCTTTATCTCTTTTAACATTATCGCTGCCTGCCGGGACACTAAGAGTACTAGCGGGGCACTGATGGCATTGTCGCTGTCCTCTGGGACACAGGGGAGCACTGGAGGGACGGATACTGGGAACACTCTGGAGCACGGCAAGTACTGGGGGTGCTGCTGCTGAGCCCTGGGACACGGGGGAGCAGCGGGAAGCCCTGGGGACGCTGTCGCTGTCCCCTCACGGCGCCCGGGGGGCCGGGCGCGGGGACATCCACCGCGCGCCGCCTACGTGCCTCGCGCCCCGTCCCGCGCGCCACCAGGAGCCGGGGCGGGGCCAAGCAGGGGCGGGCGGGCGGGGGGGGGGATGGGGAGAGAGAGAGAGATGTCTCCTCTACGCTTGCGCAGACGGCGCTCCCCGGGGCGCGGGGCGGGGCAGGCGGGCACGGCGCGCTGCGCCCCGGTTGGCCGGGGAGGGCGCAAGCGCCGGGGATAGCACTCAGGCTCCGCTCCCATGAGGGGCGGCTACCCGGCGGCGCAGCTCGCTATTGGCGGGGCGGGCGGCTGCGCGCAGGGAGGGCGGGGCGGCGGGCGCGGCCGGGCCATGTGTGCCGGGCGCCGCCGCAGAGCGGCCGCAGCCGCTGCCGGCAGCGCCGCGCCCGCTCCGGGGAGCGGCGCAGAGCCCGGGAGATGTTCTCTTCTTGGAGCTTCCCCTGCGGCCGCCTCCGCCTCGCCGGCCAGGCGGCAGCTCGCCGCTCCCCGCTGCTCTGCCCGCGGACGGCGGCTTCCTCCGCTCCGCCGTGGCTGCCGCTGCTTGGCGGCGCCCACCGGCGCCTACTCGCGCTCGGCGGGCTGAGCCCCTCCGCAGCGGCGGCGGCGGCCGGGCGGGGGGCGGCGGGGACCGCGCCGTGCGGGTCGGGGGCGGCGGGGGGCGGGTTCCGGCCGTCGCGGGTGGTGGTGGTGGTGAAGACGACGCGGTACGAGTTCGAGCAGCAGCGGTACCGCTACGCCGGGCTCTCTGAGGAGGACCTGAAGCAGCTGGTGAGCGGCGGGAGGGGCCGGCGGTCCCGGACAGCGAGGGCGTTGCCGCGGGGCTGCAGCAGGGTCGGGGGGTACCCAGGGTGATGCCCGGCTCCGGCGAGGGATGGCCGGGGTGATACCCGACTTCGGAGAGGTTCCCGTTGTGATACCCGGCTCCAGGGGCGCCGCCGGGCCGCTCTCTCCGAGTGTCCCTGGTGCTTCCCCGGGCCTTGGTGGGGCGGAGCCGGCGGCTGTGGAGGTGAGCGGGGTCGCGGCCGCTGTCCCCGGGCCCTGCCCCTGCTGCCGGCGGCTCTGCCCTCCCGCCGCTTCCCTCCCCGGCCCCCGATCCTGATGGAGCCGCCGAGCGGCACGGCCTGGAGAGGGGCGCGAGTGGCGGCGCTGGACATTCATCGCTTGCAGGCTGCCGAGAGACTTGTGCAGTAAGCGTGTTTGGGTTTTATCCTGGGAGGGATTCCAGTGGCCCTCAGCAAACTGCAGTCTTCTTCTTACTGAATGAAGTATAAAGATTAGAGCAGTGCATGCTGTGGAAAGCAGAGTCTTGCAAAAAATCTCCTCTGTGTCTTAGCATGGACTGATTCGCATTTCCTCCGTTTTTTTGCCACATCTTCACTCTATCCTTACATATTTTCCTCCATTCAGACAGCCACATCTCTCTCAGATCCACCCTTCTTGTTGCAGTTTTTAGAAAAGCATTTTTCTTTAGTCTCTAAGAAACTTTTAATATAAAGGTTCATTGCTGAAGGTATACTGAGGAAAGCAAGTGTCTCTGAGAGTTGATATGTGCACCCAGTGTCTTGTTGTCTTCATCTCCATCATGCTCAGTGACCTCACTCATTTCTCCCTTTACCCGGTGGCTGTCTTCCAGTGTTCACCTACCACTAGTGGGCTGAAGGATGTTACCTGCAGGAGTTGCTTTGGCTGCCAGCAGTCTGTGAAGTCCATGTCATGAGATCATATTTTTATACCTTTATTTTGGATAAGTCCATTACATTAATTTGTCCACAGATTCGTTTGTGTCTGTCAAGTCTTTGGTCTCTTACAACTGGAAATATTTTAGATCTCTGTTACTTTGCAATGTTTGGACTAAACTGGTACATGTGCTTATGTGGCAAGGACAAATGGCTGCATAGCCTTGCTCTGTAAGTAATCAGGGATAAAATGTACAGTATCTACAGCAATGTCTATGTGCTTCAGTTGGTCTTCTACCTCCTATGGAATTCTTGTCCAGACATTTTTTACATGTTTTGTATAGCTGTGTAGTTACAGTTCAACAAGTTGAATGTCAGTCTGTGTTAATTCTTGTGTAGCTTCCTGTTGCTGAGATGTCAGTACTTCCTTTCATACACTGGTTAGGGGGAAAAAAGGTGTCTTACAGCTCAGCTGTAAAACTTTTTATTGTCATTTAGCTGTTTGTGAGAAATTATTTCTTGTTGTTGAGTACATAGGTTGTCCTCAGTGTGCAGTTAAGCCCAGGAGAAGCAGACCGGGTTTGTTTGGTCACTTTTCCCTAACTGCTTCTGTGCAGGCAGGACTGGGACACTGAATCAGTGAACAGCATTGCACATCCCTTAAGGTGCTCATGACTGGATGGTGTGGTAGCTTCAGTTTCTTTTTTTGTGAGAATGCATATTTTGCATGATTGATAACCTGTATTGCCCTCAGTATGCATTTTTAAAGAAGTAACTGTGAACTCAGTGGGTGATTATAATGGTTGCAGAAACACCTTAAAGTTTGTCCTTTTGGAGAAACGTACAGATACACAATAATTCTTGGTATTTGTGACAGTTCTAGAATTTCTTTCCTAGGACTAGTGCTTTTTTAATATCTACCTTTCCCCTTAAAATACTGCCTTGTGAGGAATTGCAGCAATAAAAGTTGGTGTCGCCAGGTAGACAAAGCCCAACTTGCCTAACTATGTGTGTAGCAATATTGAGTTAAGCTCCTGCTGTATGGGCGGGAATACAGAGATTTGTGCAAGAGCACATTGAAAAGGTCTTGCAGAATTTTTTGAAACAGAAAAAAGAGAGTAAAGGAATTATCCTTGCTGCCCATTTCTTTTTTAGCTAACCTGTGAAAATTTCAGTATTTGCATTTTGCTGTGACTCTGGTCTCAGATCTTCTTTCCTCAGACTGAGTTAATGGCACTCTCACTGAATATGTTACGTGAAGGTTCAGAAGATTCTTATCCTCACCGCTGGGGAGATCATTTGTAGCTGAGTGATTGCTGTGAAGTGTCCTTCCCCCACAGTGCCATTGTGGGCAGCTTGGGAACAGGATGCATTTTGCTCCCTGGTGTTAGCTGCTATCCTTGTTCCCTGTGTCTCTGTTTCTCCTGGGGAGACTTTGGAAGCTGCTCCAAGGCAGCTGATCTCAGAAATGAGCTCAGGCTCACTGTCTTTGGGTTTGCAGCTCAGTTGAAGGGCCACACAGAAGGCAGGGTGAGAGCTGAGTGTGTATGAAAGCCTCAGGCTGGGATACAGGCAAAGAGTGAAAGCAAAAGAGCACAGGAGAGGTTTGGCTCCTGTGATGCTCCGAGCTGCTGGCTGACCCAGACCTGTTGCTGGTGGGGGTTGCACTGGAGGGGGCTCAGGCTTGGGTGATCCTGGATGGAGGAGGCTTGTAGTGTAAGGGAGAAGCACAAAAGGAAGAGCATGGTGCTGTTATCCTCTGTCATGGACCTTCAGATGTCCAGACACTGGCTATCTGAAATACAGAAATTCAGTTTCAAGGCAATGTTGTAGGTTTAGATTTGAGCAGCCATACCTGGGCTTGTTGCCTTGCCTGTTGTGAGCAGACGAGATGTTTGCAAGTTTCTAGAAGATAGCTGATGTCTGTACTTGGAAACTTCAGATATCAGTATAGCACAGTTAATGAAAATTGGGGGCTTAATCAGTTCTGCCTGATCACCAAGACAGGCGAGCAGTCCTGAAGGTAGCTGTTTCAATCAGTGTGTTTATGTATTGAGGGTGAATATGCAGGAAGTAACTTAATGCAGACATGATGGTGCCTTTGGGCACTCATCTTAATGAAATGAGATATGTTTCATGTTTAAGGAGGCTGAAGATGAATCATTGGCATACACCAATATGTACTAAAATATTATACAGGTCATAGTATATGTCTTTATCTATGATATATGCAGTATAAATCACAGTATCCTCCAAGAAGCAGAATACCAATGATGGAGGTGACTGGCTGACATTTCTTATAAGCCATAAAGGCCCTGGGCACCTGTAGCTTAAACCCTTCTGTGGCTTTACTTTTGGATGCTAAGTGAGTTGTATTATACAAATACTATGAAATCTTGCAAAGTCAAAGCTGCAGGGTCACAATTCCAGAACTCAAGTATTCTTTCTCTGTGCAGACAGAGATAGGAGAGGTAAAGAAGCAGTCAAGATAGCAGAAGAGCAAAACTAATGGTGGAAAGATGGAAAGCAAGGGCTACTTTTACAGGTCTACTAAATGGTGTCTTTGCTTTATGAAATTTAAGGGGCTGTTGAGTTTTAGAAATCTTGCAGTTACCAACTCTAAGTTATACTAATCTTTCTTCCAAGTCCGTGCTAACAGTTTGCCTACCAGAAGTTACAGCAATTTGTATTTCTTGTGACCTAGCTTACTGGGATTGGCATCTAAATATGACTAGTTACAAAAATGAATGATCCAGTCAACTAGTACTGAAGGCTGCTACATGTTCTGTTTATTTCACTCTCAGTAAATCCATAGAGAGGAACCACTGCTGTTGTCCTTACATAAACTAAGAGAATATAATGCCCCAGTAATAGAGGTTGTTTCCTGACTTCTGGGTTTTGTGTTGTTTGATAGTGCAGATATGATAAATTGCTGACTTCTCACAGCTGTAAGGTATTTAGGGAAGGTGAAAATGTTACCTATCCAAATACATTTTGTACACAATTCTAATTATCTTTGAAAATGTCTTGTCATATGAAAAGTTATGTTTGTCTTGATCTTAGTTGGAAGGAGGTCGTTCAGTGTGGTTTAGAGTTGATATTCTGTTGTGGCTGGTTTATGAGTCTTTATTTGGAGCAGGAGGGGGAGAGCAAGTTGCAGGTTTGGAACAAGTTTTGCCTCTTTTGGACCACTGCAGCTAATTGCTAGGGGTGGTAATCTCAGTGATGTGAAGTTCATACAGCTTTATAGAAAACTGGTGTCTGGGTAGGGAAGAGGCAATGTGTTGTCAGGATATTGCCTCCCCTGAATGCGGTCAATATGAACTTGCACAGGTGATGCATAGGGCAGCAGCAACATCCTGGGCAGGGCTGGCCAGGAAGGAAGGAAGGAGTGTTGCCCAGCAGGTAGGTGAGCTTCAGCTGGGGCTCCTGTTGTGTGCCAGAACAACCCCGCAGAGCTGTGGGTGGGGTCTGGGGGGTGTGTGCAGCAGGACACTGTCCTCCCACCCTCCTGCTCCTAATTTAGATGTGTGCAGCACCAGTTGTTGCTAGTCCATGCAGTAAAGTTT